ATTTATTTATTTATTTATTTATTTATACTAATTGCAATGTGAACCTCCTTGCCAGAAAGCACAGGTGCTGTTTGCCTATCTGGTGGCTGTGGAACATTTCTAAAGTGTGCTTTCTCCAAAACAATTTATGTGGATCATGTGTAGATGCTTTGCATCAGTAGAAACTTGCCTTATGTCACCAAGCTAGCTGTGACACAAAATTTGAAATGGCAAATGGGCTGAATTTTGCAGGTGATGAAGCCAAAGATTTAGAAGTCTCCCCTGGCAAAAATGTTGTTGTCTACAAAGAATATGTTACATCAGAATCCTCCCTCTTTGTTCCTTTTAACTCAGATGGCCACAGAGAGAGGTGAAGCTTATAGTGATACAATTGGAACTAATAGGTAAATGTGTTTCCCCACTGTGTGATATCTTTGGAGGAGGATTGTGGGATCTCATTTCCGGAATGTCACAACTAGAACCTGCCTAGATTAGAATCTTTGAGATAAGAGGGCTTCTTTGCAATACTTCAAGTCATATATCCAGTCTCACATACATTTCAGTGAGAACATTACAAATATGAGAAGTCTTATTGCATGTTGTTGATTTAGAGAAAGGGTATGATAAACAGGCTGAAATCATAGAATCTTTTGTGTTAATATGGAATCGAAGGTTCAGTTGTTGAATGCTATGAGAGGATATCATGGAAATCAAACATGTGTGAAAACAAATGGAATGCTTAGTAAATGGTTCAGCACTGAGCAGGGAGTAAGACAAGGGTGTGTGATGTTCCCTTGGTTGTTTAATGTATATATGGATAAATGTATAAAGAATATTAGTGGTGACCTTAGATGCTGATTGGGGATGAATGTGTGCATACTTCAGAATGCAGACAATGCTATGCCATTGGCTAAGAATCAGAATAATTTGCAGGGAGCATTAGATCAGATTGCATGATACAACAAGAAGTGTGGATCAGCAAATTGATGTATCAAAGACCGAGGCACTTGTGTTTGACAGGGAAAATAGAGTGAATGATTGCAAGTTATATATAAATTGTGAAAAACTAGAGCAAGTAAATGACTATAGGTATCTTGGTAGAATATTTACTAAAGATGGGGAAATGAATAGAGAAAATGTCCAAACACAGATAGAAAAATACTGGGTAGTCTACGGTCTGTTGTGAGGAATGAATAGTGAAATAAATGCAAAGGTCATGTATAAAAGTGTGCTTCTGCCCACCTTGTTATATGGAGGTGAGAAGTTGGGTGTTATGGGAATTGGGGTACTTAAAAAGTTTATGTGGTCAAACAAGAAGAGATGGGACAAGAATGAATGAGTACTGAACGAATAGCAATACAAAAGTGAGCGACCAGTATGAAAGAAGGATATTGAGGTAGTTTGGTCATATAAAAAGAATGAATGAGGACGGAATTTCAAAGCAAATATATGAAGGAAGTGAGAATGAGTTGAGAGGAATGGAATAAGTGAGAATGTCAAGTTAGAAGTTTATAGAACAAAGGCAGTGTATGAAGGTGTATGGACATGTTGGAAGCAATGATGATTTGCAAGGATAGAATGGTAAAGAGAGATATAGTGAATAGTGTTGGTAAATTAGATATAGCTACAGTTGCATATAAATCTTTAGGCGCCTGTCATCAAACTGTGTTTCAATGAACCTCTGAGTGAACAGAAGTTGACACAACTGCTGTGTGCTACAGATTTAAACATGAATCTTTCTGCAAATTTGAATGCATACTTAATATTTACATGCAGTTGCTTACAGATTCAAAATAAGAAAACAGTGAGTATAGCAGGTAGAAAAGTTGGGCACCCTTTCAGTCAGTACTTTGTAGCTTTTTCTTTGGCAAAAAATAACAGCTTCCAAACATTTCTTGTAGCTAGTTAAGCATCTTTGTTTTCTTTTGAATTTTCCCCCACTCCTCTTTGTAGAACTTTTCTAGCTCAGAAATATTGTTAGGTTTCCTTGATCACGCTGCATGTCTGAGACTCCCCACAGATTTTCAGTAATATTCATACCTGGAAACTGTGAAGCCGATCCCAAACCTTTATTTTTTCTTTTCTTTAAATACTTCGTAGTCAATATATTTCAGCTCACTGTTTTGGATATTTCAGTGAGACAATGGTACCAAACATACTTCCAACATGCAGTGCATAAAGGAAACCCAAGAATATTTCTGAGCTAGAAGACTTCTGCAAGGAATAGTGGGGGAAAATCCAAAAGGAAGAATAGAAAGATTCTTAGCTGACAAGAGCAAAGAAATAACTTTTTACAACACCCAAAGCTAACAAGTAAACGACTGAGTTCCAAAGAAAGAAAATTCAAACTAAAATAATTCTGATACAAAGAAATTATCCAAAATGTTTAAATTGAAACAAAAACAACTGAAGGAAAAAAGCAAAAATATAAAGAACTATAAAACATTTAAACTGGCTAGGAAGCTAAAATTTAATAGACTGTTTAATATTATGCATGTGCATAACAACAACAAAAAGGAAAAGAAAGGAAGACATTATAAGAAGTTAAGAAATCAAAGAGGACTATGTTTGAAGTCCTCTTTGATTTCTTAACTTCTTATAATGTCTTCCTTTTATTTTTACAGTCTATGTTTGGTAAAAATAAGAATAGTATAAGCTCTATCTTAATGACAGTTTTCTTATTTTGCATCTGTAAACAGCTATACATAAAGAGTAAGCATACAGTAATACTTGCAGAAATATGTTGTGTTTAACTTTGTACCACATGACAGCTTCTGTTCACGTGGGGATTCTTGAACCATATCCTTTGATCAGGGGCACTTATACTTTTGCATGCAACTTATTTTCTTTTCTTTCCCCTTATCTCACACCTTTAATTTTGTGGGCTTAATATTTCTTATTCCTTTTCTGCATTTTGCATAATGTTTCTTATCTTGGAGAGGAACAGCATGACAGATACGTATGCTGTCACCAGAGCTGTGAGTGAATGGATTAGTCTAGCTAGTCATTACTTGCACTGGGTTTTATCTTTCGGCCTCCTTCCAGCTATCTTCCGGGCAAGTAGATTTCTGTCTGCTTTGCTAATATATTTAGTGTAAATTCCACAACAAATCCCCATGACAAGTGATTTTATTTCGTGTGTATTCAACTATAGAGGATAAAATCATGTGGAAACAATTCTTTATGGGATTACAAAATGGGCAGGTCTAAGATCCTTAAAATTCACTCAAGTAATGATTACAAAAGAAGCCTGCTTATTTATAAATGGTTTATATTTTATTATCACTCACCTTTTGCTATTTTTCCTTCCTTTTGTACCCCATCTTTACCCACTGTCAAACTGAGAACCTCTGTACAAACATTCCAAGATTTAGCATTAAAAATAAAAAGAGCTTTCCTCCCTGCATGTCAGATCCAAATTTTAGCCTGCATATTGATGATATTCTCCAAAACAAAATGATACCTTTTAATCTCTAATTGAGCAACCAAAAACAGTTCCTTAGGGCCTACATTTGTTAAACAGCACCTCTGCAAAAACCAGCATTCCCTTCCTTCTTTGTGCTATTCCTCATTTTTTCCTTACTTGCTTCTGCTAAAGGATAGTGTTGTTCTAACGTGTCCATGGCCACAAACTAAATATTTTAATTCTTGTCCTTCCCCATTCCCCTAACCCTCCCCCCTCTTTTTCCAACCTGCCTGTGTATTTGTATTTTCCCACCTGTCTTCTCTTTCACCTCCTTCGGTCTCCTTTACGTCCTCTAACAATCACTCCTTGCCCTTGTTCAGTAAACCTGTTAACAACTCATCTTGTACTCATGTTTTTGTCAAGCAGACCTTTTGCCTTAGGTTTGCCAGTGCTCCAGCTTCTAACAGAAATGTTCCTAATTAGCCCCCACTCTATCTCTTTCTTTCTCAGTTTCCTTCTATTTTGTTCTCTCCTTTGAGAAGAAAATATTTGCTTTTCCCTTGGCCATTTCCCTTTTCTCCCACTCTCCTTCTTCTTTTCCCTGAATCTTGCTTTTCTTTCTAGGCCGCTAGATCAACCAAGGACTCTGGCACGGGGAATGAGACTTCCAGCCCAGTCTCAGAGAAACCTACTTCGGGCAGGACCTCCATCCCGGTTCTGACTTCCTTTGGGTCACGGAACTCCTCCATTTCATTCTAGAAGCTCCTTTGCCAAATTCTCCTTTGATGGTTTTTCCTACCTACTGTAATGGG